TTCATAATACGACTCCGTGGTATTTCCACAGCTGTTCATTTAACAATATTTGTTAAAGACTGATACAGTACAGATTAAGTTAGAAGATTTTGATGTGATGGGTTTGAAAGCTCATTAATCTCCTCTTCTTGTGATGAGAATATTCGATAAGCACACAGTGGACTCTTTCAATCTACAATTATTTAAACTTTTGATTCAGAATTTGCGTTTCCCATAAAAGAAATTAATTTGTGAGACAATATGAGCGCATTACACATAAATTATGCTTTAAACTGTTTACAGTATTGCTCCTCTACAAATTTACATTCATTTTGATTACAAATGACTAAAAAGAATAGTTCTTGATACACGAGAAAATTCACATCTAAGTATAAATTTTATATAGTTGTTTGTCCAGAAGATTCTAATGATTCATCAAGATTTATGGATTTATGGTATACATTTGTTGATCCTTATGCCACTGAAGTAGATGAAATGGGTACCGATGAAGCAAACAAATCTGTTGGTGTATTACGAATTAAAGATGGACGAAAAATTATTGGTAAGAATTTTAATTCTAGAGTTAGACATTAAATTGTATTTATCTGTTATCATCTGTATGTTTTTTTGTTTAACTTTTTATTCTAGATGCTTATGAATGGAAACATGATAATGATGTCCATTTATTAGCGCAAAATGATGAATTAATTATTTATGAATTACATGTGGGAGATTTTCATGAAAAATTTAAAGATTTAACAACTAAAATTGAACATTTTAAATCATTAGGAATTAATGCCAGTAATATTAATTCATACTTCTTTTTTTAGATTTGTAAATTTATATTTCATTTTTTATTTCTACTTTAGTTATTTTAATGCCTATTCGACAAACTGTACAATATTCATGGGGCTATAATCCACGTTATAGTTTTGCCATTGAACACACGTTTGGTACCACATATGAATTTAAAGAAATGATTGATAATATGCATGCAAATGGTATTCGAGTTCTTGTTGATGGTGTTTATAATCATGTGAGTTGAACAGTAATCAAAACGAAAGACAGAATCTCTGATAAAGTTATTCTTTCTTCTTTTCAGCCTTATCACGTAATTCTTCTACCGAAAAGCTGAGTACGTTACTGTTTTTACGGAACTTCAACACATTATAACTTTTTGAGAAAACGTCGTGAAGAATTGTGCAATCTTTCAATAAAAAGAAGAGTCTTCTCCAAAAACTGAGTTTGACCAAACTTTTGAAAAGTGTTCGTGCAGACGATACCGCAAAGAAAAGAGAGATGTCTCAACTCGATTTTTTTCAAAAGAGTACCTTCGAATTCTCTTGATATATCGTCTGAACGTTAACTTTTCAGGAGATTGATTAAATCTAGTTTTAAAGATCTTCATTTTAGTGAGAGGTTGTGCGGTTCCCCATGACTTTTCCTCAAATAATTATAACGTTTTGAACTTCCCTAAAAACGGTAATGCACTCAGCTTTTCAGTAGCAGAGTTACGTGAATGGCCGTGGAATGCTCCGTTGTGTCATTTTACTTTCAAACTGTACAAAATGAGTGAAGCATGCGGTTCACGATTATATCTTGTACTAGCATAGAAAAACTCTGCTTTCCCCCGAGTGTTTTTTTAATCTCTTTTCGATGTTTCATAAATGAAAGGCGTTACACAGTGGGCAACCATGTGGGCATTAGGTGGAAAACGAAAGTGAACTTTTACAAGATTCGAATAGCAGGTCATATACTCCAACTTATGCTCTATTTAACTGGCACAGGAAGTTTTGTTTTAAGCGCCATAGTTAATGAGAGAATCGAGAAGGGAATTTTTGTCGAAAAACATAGCGATGAAGATTGAAAAACAATTTTTAGCAAAATAAAATAGAATATTTATAAAAATCATACTCTCTTTGAAACTATTACTAATAGATATTTCACTCTACATATTGGAAAAAAACTTTTTTTCGTTGGATAAGTTGGAACCGAAAAAATAATTGTTCTTTCTAGGCTAAGGTTTTTCCAAAGAGCGGTCCTTGATACAGTAAGTGCGCACAATTTAGCACAGCTTCGAATCGGACGCAACTTCCACAAAATCTGCTTTTACTAATGATACATCTATGCTATTAGTGCAAATTAGCGCAAACGTTTCTGGACTGAGTTTTTTCGGTAAAATTCATTTTTCTCACCCCGGAGGCACTTTCATTAAAAACTAATTATATATTTAGAATCAGCGCACCGAACTGCATCGAATGATATGTCATTTGTATGCTTTTATGCGCAAAAAAATCGTTCGATTTAATGAAATGACATTTGCAGCATTACCGTAGCAATTTTGGCTAGACACTAGGCTTTTTGACGTAGAAACAGTGTGAAAGTCTACGAAAACTATTTTCATAGGTTTTCGAACGCACTCTTTCCGATGGTGTGATTTGCAAAATTCAAAAACACTTTTAGTCGGGTCTTCCAGAGGTCAGATCTCTGGAAAACCGTGCTAAACACATCTTTGAACTTGTAAATCACACCATTGGAAAGAGCGCATACGAAAACCTATAAAATTAGTGTTTAGAGGCTTTCATATCACTTTTATGGCACATGTCCACGTGTCTAGTCAAAATTGCCCGCTGTGCGTTAATTAATAGAGTTAATTAGGATTGACTAGTGTAATGATCTGAAATGTACCTTATACAATCTCTTTTGTGCTACGTAATCTATGCTGTTTTGATAGTGCTTGTTAGTGCCTATCAACAACTTGAAATATGTTGCAATTTTGTTGAGTCATTCCATTCAGCGATGATTAGATATCGGTTTTGTATACGACTCATTTTTACGTATGAATGGTTGTGAATAGTCATCTGTTTTGGAGGAAGTTTTCTCGCGCGTTTTTACTCTTTGTATTGGGAGAGTAACGTTCTAATTTCTAATTCTTTTTTCCAATTATTAGTTACATGCATCTTTATTCTAATAAGAATACTATCGTCAAAATAATGACTAACTGTTATCTTCATTCTAAAGATGTTGTTTACTTATTATCATTTTTTTTGTTTATTATCGTACAGGCCGATGTTTCGTCACCATTAGCTCAAATAGATCATGATTATTGGTTTCATCATGAACCAAAAGATATTCAGAATTCTTGGGGACCAGAATGGAATTATCAACATTATGATGCTAAATATAATGTTTGTAAGTTCTCCGACTACGAATATACAATCATGTGTGCTAGAATAGGCAATTTGCAGCACTTTACAGTTCAGCCACAAAGAGACATAAGAGAAATCTTTTTGGTAGTTTTAGTCAGTTTGGTGAGCTGCATCGAATGACCGTGTCTGTTTGATAAAAAAGTTTTTCGACTGCCTGAAGTCCTCTCCAGGTAGACTTCAAAAGGTTGAAATTTTGTTTTTTTCAAACAGCCACTGTCATTCGACGCAGCTCATCAAGCTGAGCAAAACTCTTCGAAAGTTTTCTGTTATGTCTCTTGGTGGCTGAGCTACAGGTATACACTTTCTTGTGGCAAGTCGCCTATACTAGCGTTTTTTTTTTATTTGTTTATAATAATTTTTTGTGTCATCAAATGGCTCTCGCACCCTCTCTAATTGTATAACGTAAGATTACTTGTCGACTCACAACCCATCATTACACCGCAAGTCTATGGATTACTTCACAGGTGAAGAAAAGGCTCAGGACGGAACCCTCTAACTGCATTTATACGAGTCATGAATACACTGGCTTATGTCTTTATAGTGTTTTTCACATGAAACGTCTGAACTAAAGAAATTACAAGTGTTTTTCGACGAAAAATGAACGTAATATTATTTTTTAACTCAGTTTTCAACACTAAATAAGAAAAAAGTAATTTCAACGTTCGGACCAACAATCTAAGTCGAAAACTCTAACTTTTTTGAACGTCATCGTTTTTTCGAGTTTTGAGGCCGTTTGAATTTCACAAAAAGTGGACTGACCTTGTAACAATGCGTCATCTGTCAGAGCACGAAAATTAAACAATAACAGAAAATTGATACATTGAATCGAGCCTACCCATGCCTTTGATCTTGCCCAGTTCGAGCCTACCCTTTCCCAGGCCTATGCCGAGTCTGTATTCGTATTCATATATTTGTATGTTTTATGACTGCTTACAATTCTACAAATACATCTAACCGACACTATTAAATTAGATATTCTATAGTGAGTTACTCTTATGTTCTCCAAATTCTGTACATATACACATCATTCATAAACATACACACATATGAATACGACTACAGAACCAAAATCTCAAAACTTATGTATAGTTTTTATATATGTATGTATAGAGGAATATTCAATATTCAATAGAAATCTTCATGTGTAGAGAGCAGAAAAAATTGTTGATTCCTCAGAAATTAAAGTATTTCCATTCATACAACGGACGACACTTTGTTTATCAGTCAGATAGCGTGAGATAAGATAAGTTAAGCTATGGTATGATTAGAAAACGGCCAGGCCTAGCGTGACGGAATAACGTTTTTTCATTTTCTTTTTTAAATATCTCAGCCAATTTACGTCAGGAAAGGCTTAAATTTTTGTAGAATATGTGAGATCAGATGTTCTACAAATACAGAAAGTGTCATCAGATTCAGACATTTGGTCTGAAAGTTATAAGCAAAAAGATAGGCCGTGACGGAATAACGCAAAACGGACTTCGACTTCGACCTCAGTCTAAAGAAAGTGAAAACGCAAAGGAACAATTCCACAAAAAAACTTCACACAGCAAACTTGTGGCCTACTTAACAAGCTACACGTGGAAAAAAAGAAAATTCAAAACTTCAAAAATTTGCCGTTTCAGGTCGAATAAACTGTCCTGACGAAATAAACGTTTTGAGAAATGATCAGGTTTTTTGAAACCTTAAACACTTGATTTTTATATTCCAGAAACTGCTAGACATTGGCTATTGAACTACGCCAGAATCAAGTTCCTGCCAGTTGCTGAGCTTGTACAATATGTTCGACAAATTTGAAATATAAGTCTGGTAACTCCGACATCTTTCATCCAAGCTTTAAAACAAACACGTCATTTTGTAGAGAATTCAGTTCTTGATCGAATGACATGTTTTTAAATTTTTTTCGACAAAGTGTCTAGGTGAGGAAATCAGAAATACTGTTTTCAAAAAATGTAAAATCGAGTTTTGGAATTTAAAAGTAACTTTTTTTTCAAGCAATAATACCAGATTCGTAATCAGCGTGAAAAATTGTATCTAGTGAAGTGCTCATTTCAGTTCCGCGATGAAAAAAAATTTCGAAAACTTTCCAAAAAAAGTTACCGTTACGTGGACTGGCCGAAAATAAGATTAGATAAAGATTGGAGAAGATAAAGTGAAGTGAGATGAATAGAAGTTGAAGGGTCGGTTGAACTTCTAAGTTGATCCGGACTTATTAGATCATTAAACGTCTGTTAGATTTTTAGACTATTGTTTAGTTGATGCATCTTTTGGGCAGTATAATCTAATAATCTATAATAATTCAATGTGAATAATTCAGTATCGCGAATCACAAAATATCGAAAAAAGTTTCACAAATATACGAAAATAGCTCATTGAGAGTTATATCAACGACTCTACATTTGTATAATACTGAGACCGACGAGATGTAATCTAGCAGTTCATCCAGTCGCGAAATGTAAATCATTCCTCCAGCGACAACGTTCAGAACGTTTAAAAGTACAAAAATCTTCGAAAAATTCTATATTACTCTTGAAAATGTCATAATGTGTTCGACCAGGACGTTGTGAGTCAATTAGTATTAGTGAGTAAAATTAGTACAGTAATTTTGATAATATAGGGACTTGTCAGAAAAGTGAACCTGTCTTCAGTATTTGTATATACTCGGTGTTTTCACTGTAGAAACCCTATATTTAGTGGCTACATTTTGTATCCATAAAGTATGGGCCAGAATTAGTGAAACGAATTGATAATTAGTTTATATATAAATCGTTTCAGTAATTCTGATCCATCCTTTATTATGATATTTCTGCAGTTTTAACATATACACATCATTTATTTAGGGCCGGCACGTAAATATGTTGGAGACTGTATACGTTATCTGGTACAAGAATTTCATATTGATGGTCTTCGATTTAGTTCAGCTAGATTTGTAAATAAACAATCTCTTTTTCTTTTCTTATTTTTTTGTTTTGTTTGTTAGTTTACTTCAATCTATGCTAGATTCTTTTTTTATTTCTCTCAGATACAAAATTTTGAATTTTTGACATTAATTACTCAAGATGTTAAAAAATTAGCCGGAAATAAACCATTTTATTGTGCAGCTGAATATATACCAGAAGATCCAAGTAAGAAAAATATATTTTTTTTTTTTGTGTATATAAAAATAAATATACATTCAATTTGAATGTTTTTGTATTCTAGTAATAACTGTAGCAAAAAATGGTCCAATGGATGGTCTCTGGCATGAAAAATTTTACACAACTATTAAAGATATTTTAATTATGAATGATGATAATAATCGCGTTTCTTTAGATCAATTGAAGTTAGTTATTGATGGTCGTCTACAAGGTTATTCATCAATACAAAATTTAGTCAATTATTTAAGTAATCATGATCATAATCGATTTTGTTATGACATATTTACTCATATCAAAGACGAACAAACGGCTATCAATCGTTTAAAATTAGGTAAGAAATGAAAAGATGTCATCCTATACATTATTAATCCGGTTTGTGTCCAAATTTTTTTGAGAATCGAAAAACTTTTATTATGGCTTCCATGAAGTATCTGCGACTAAGAATAGCGAATTTTATAGACTCCCACCTGCAAGTGTACTTTTCACATGAAAATAAAATATTTACTAAAATAGCTAACGAGGAACCTTTTCAAAACTGTCTAATCGTTTTCTGGTCGAAATCTAGTGGGTTATAGGTTATCGACTGTGCTGAATTCGAATATCAACATGAGACGGGCCCTTAGGTCATGACCCCCAAAGACCGATTTTGGGAAAACGAGTTTTTCAGAAACTCCAGAAAATCTCCGAAACTTCTTTTAATACGCCATGTTTGTAGCCCGCGAGATTCTGATCAAAATGAGACATCTGCCAGCTCTACATGACCTTTCTTGCAAAGTTACAGAATTTACACGAAAAGTCCTACATTCATTTCTTCTTATTTCTGTAGCTTTGAGCTGACAATGAACATTCAGGGCTTTTCTTGTAAATTCTATAACTTTGTAAAGAAAGGTCGTGTAGAGCTGGGAGATGTCTCATTTTGATCAGACTTTTGCGAGCTACAAACATGACTTATTAAAAGTTTCAGAAATTTTTTTTCAGTTTCTGGAAAACCGATCTTTGAAAGCCTAAGATCCTGTCTCAGGTTGATATTCGATTTCAGCGCGGTTGATAACCTATAACCCACTAGGTTTCGATCAAAGAGTGATTAGACAGTTGGAAAAGGTCCCGCGTAAGTGCCTTTAGGAACTTGCGGACAAACGGGTTAATAAACCGTTTACCGTTTGTTACTGCTTGAAGAAGGAAAATTATTTTGAATTTTGTATCAGACTAGATTCTATACAGGTCAGAGGTTTGAGGCTAAATACTCTTGTTCTTTTTTATCTTCCCTGAAAATAATCTAATGTTCGCATAAAAATCGAACACACCTGGCGCAATAAATTGCTCTCAATTTTCTATGCAAGTCATTATCTCTGATTAGCTGGGAACTAGTCATATTAAAACAAAAGTCATATTTTAGGTGATCAGACAGTGTGATTTTTGTATTGCTTTTAGTTTTACATCGAGATTGACTCAAAAGGTAAATATCATGACTTAGGCAAGTGTTACGCTTCAATGGGACATATTTTAATTTGTAGAGCTCGACGAGCTGATTACGATGACATAAAGCATTTTCTCCCATGGCTCTTGAAGACCCGGTTTTCAGAAACTCTGAAAATAACCAAAACTTTTCTTAACGAGGTATAATTATAGCGCGCATATTTCTAATTAAAATGAGACATCTACCAGCTTTATATGACCTTTCTTTGCAAAGTTATACAATTTACAAGAAAAGTCCTAAATTTATTTCTTCTTATTTCTGTAGCTTTGAGCTGACCCAGTCAGTCATAGTCATTCCAGAAAAGCGCAGGAAATTCTGTTTATGAAAAATTTTACGTGTTTAGCGAGTTTCGAATAATAACGCGCAAGAAGTTGCCAGTGTGTAAAAATAAACGTAGGAACACGCGTGCAAAGCCTTTGTTTCTACGGCAACGTGCGTTTCTTACGATTTAATTTTACACACTGGCAGCTTCTTGCGCGTTATTATTCGAAATTCGCTAAACGTGTAAAATTTTTCATAAACAGTTTCCTGCGCTTTTCTGGAATGACAATGACTAACTGGGGGACATTGAACATGTAGGGCTTTTCTTGTAAATTCTATAACTTTGCAAAGAAAGGTGGCAGATGTCTCATATTAATTAGAAATGTGCTTGTTACAATTATACCTCGTTAACAAAAGTTTTGATTATTTTTAGAGTTTTTGAAAAACTGGTTTTCAGGCCATAAATTGCATGAAAACTTTTAAAAACTTACGAGATAAGCTTTATTCTACAGACTTTGGCTGTACTCTATTTAAATAAGTTTTTGTTCATCTGTCTTTATGTTTACTTTAGGTTTATTATTATTAACAACATCAACTGGCAATATTTTATTGTGGATGGGTGATGAATATGGTGAAATGAAAGCAAAATCAATTGAACAATCAAAATTAGATTGGACTCTAATACCGACAAATGATTTTAATAAGAATCTATTTTCATTATGGTCAAAAATGTTACATATAAGACAAAAATACATGCATATATTTAAAACATTAAATTTAAAATTTATTCATGAAAATAGTGATCAACAATTATTAGTTTATGATCGTTATGAAAATAATGAACATATTCTTATAATAATTAATTTTGGTTCATTAGTTAAAAATTATACAATATCAAATATACCATCGAAAGGAATATGGACAGATTTATTATCAGAACATAATTATCATTTAATGGATGAAAGTAATCAATTAACATTTGATGTTATTGAGGAAAAACAAGGATTTATACTCATATTAAATCGACAACAATAGATTCTCTTATTGTACAATTATTTGTACCATTTTGTTTTATTTCATAAAATGAATTTGTTGTTCTCAAACAAAAAAAAAAGTCTATTTCTACTACTTTGAGTTCATTCGATTCAATGGTGATTTGTGATAAAACAAAAAAATATATTATTTCGACGACTGCATATCCTTCTATTTATTTTATACTTTAATCTCAAATATTCAAAATAATTTGTTATTCGTATATTTTGCTTTCCAACAAAATATCTCAGTTAATTTACTACTAACAGAATGTGTCTAACTTTCTATTAATTGCTCACGTAATACGCCTAGTCTCTTTCATTCTATTTTTTCTGACTTCATATCTAAATCCTTTTGTTATGTTACCTCATGACATTGTCTTCTTTTTTTTATAAAAAATATACTCAATTTCACTTGACAATTTTTTTACTTTGCTTTTTTCATTTTTATTTAATATTGTTAAACATGCTCTGTACACCTCTTGATGTCACTAACCTTGTTCATAGACTTTTTTTTTTTTTTTATAAAAAAATGTTTTCCATAGTCCTATTTTGTGTCATTTTTTTTCTCTTTTTGAATTTATTGTGTTTAACATTTGACTGTTTTACATGCAGTTGTTTTGATAAGAATGAGATTTAAATTAGTGTAGTATGTGGATTAAACGTTAATGTAATAATAAAAAAATTAGATTTAATCCTTTCAATACACGAATGCTCTGCTGCCTATGCAGAGTGTAACATTGTAGAGCTCGATGAGATTGAAAATGTTTTTATAAAGAAATTTAGATCTTTGTGAAGCTTAATTTAGCATTAATACAAAGATAGAAGTAAATTGATTTATAGAAAAAATTAGAAACATTTGACAGTAGAGCAGAGTCCTACAGCTTACGACTTTTGTTCGATAAGTTAGACGTTGTTTGTGTAAAAGTATACAGAAGAAGTAAAATGAAGACGAGGCAGCAAGAAGCGTTGAAAAAAGTTACCTGCCAAAAATGGCAGCTAATTTTCGAAGCAAAGCAAAAAAAGTGATTCGTATTGAGTAAATTGATCAATCAGTTTCTTCGACGAGATGCCGCCTATATTTGCCTGGGGCCTGTTTCTTAAAAAAACTTAAGTAGAAAATCTGACTTAAGTCAAACTTAAGTCCAAAAAAGTCTTTGTCTTTTTTGACTTAAGTAAGATTTTCTACTTAAGTTTTTTTAAGAAACAGGC